TTCATGTCGGAAGTCTGAAGGAATAACAGTGCTCCAAGAGAGATCGTCTGTACAACTGGTGGGTTCCCACTGTCCTGGAAACAGGAGAGACTTGTGCGGGAAGGAGGCTAGAGAAGATGGTCTTCTCACTGTGGTCATCATCCCTTGTCTGGTCTGTGTTATTACCAAGTTTCAGGAGGTTCCATGTCAGATTTATGTGCATCCAGCAGGCCTTTGAGGAATGGGACGTTGTGCATTTAGCTCTCCCACATTTTTCTGTAGTGGAAGCCATGTGAAACTAGTCCAAACCATATGCAGGTAATTTTTAAAAAAATTTGTTTTGAACTGGCATTTATGATAACTACCATATAGGGAGGAAAATCTGAAGAACCTGTAATGGTTCTGTAGCAAGTGAAGTCATACCTGTTACTTTTTGAAGGTGAAAATACATTTGCAAAGGCAAGGGAAGAGGTTTTAAAATGCAGATCAAAGATTCCAGGGCAGTGAATCTCAACAATGTTCCTAGCTGATCAGTTCTCATTTCCCAACATTGCTCTTTTTTCACATCTGTGCAGTCTGGTGGTAAGAGCTCAGTGGTTTCTGTCTCCTCTTTCTATCACTATATTTTAAAGTCTAGGAGGAAAGACATATAAAGGGAAGAGTCCTTTTTTTTAATCTTAAATGTCTCCTATTTCACTGTTAACATACCAGTTTTGCTGCTCTCTCAAACTGGTGCCTATGCTCAGAGCCACCATGATGGCTATGCAGACAGTGCACAACCAGTGCTGGGGGGGACCTCTCTAATGAAGGCTTCTTCCAGAGTTGGGCTGTGCCCATGGCATAGATGTGTATGGCAGCCTTGCCTTTTCGTTATCCTGGTTTAAACACTGGGTTTAAGAAGCCCTTATTTTGAATTTCTGCAGCAAGTGGTTTTCACTGATACAGTCAGGGTTAAGCTAAGATAGACGAGTGGTATTGAGATCAGAATAAGATTTAAAATTAATTACCCCTTGGTGACACAGCTAATGTCTTGGTCAAAATTGGTAGAACTGCATTAAAGGGGGGATTTTGGGGCCAGGCGCGGTGGCTCACCCCTGTAATCCAGCACTTTGGGAGGCTGAGGCTGGCAGATCACCTTAGTTCAGGAGTTCGAGACCAGTCTGACCAACATGGAGAAACCCGTCTCTACTAAAGATACAAAAAAATTTGTCGAGTGTGGTGGCGGGCGCCTGTAATCCCAGCTACTCGGGAGGCTGAGGCAGGAGAATCACTTGAACCCAGGAAGTAGGGGTTGACTTTTTTTTTTTTTTTTAACCTGAATTGAGTCATGACCAATTGTTGGCATTTTCTGCATTTCGGCAATGTAGAGTACAAGGCAGTTCTAACTTAGTCATTCTGCCAGGAGGATAGAAATAGTTTAGTTTTGGAAGACCTATTTAAACAGAAGTAATATTCCACAGTTCTTATGCTGCAAATGGCTATTCCATATGGAATATGTGATACAAAGACCCATTTGTAGCCATACTGACCAGACCTTCCTGTGACCTGAAGGCATAGATGTCAGAGTAGGAATTTGGGAATAAAAGGTTTGGGTACAAGTGTACACATGACTGTACCTGGTTTGGTGTCACCTTGTGCATGGCAGCCTTGTGCTCCCTGTCCCCCAGAAGTGCAGCAATGGAAGGCCTGGGTCCTACGACCACAAGTACAGCTGTGAAAAGTGTGTAATCCTTGTCTTATAATAGCACTGCCAGAAAGTTCAAGGCCAAAAGTCTTTTTTGAGTTTAACCACAAAGCAAGTGGTGGGGAAACTGCATCTAGTCTTGCTAATGTCCTGAAACTGCTGGACACTGCTCCCATTATTAGGATAGGTTGGAGTTTATGGAGATAGTTTTAAGGCTGGGAGTTTCCAAGTTCAATGCCACACCATCCTCTCCTCACCTAGGTTTCCCTTCATTGCTCATTGTGCCCACACCCAGTTTTGCAGAGGATTTTCTGTGAGTGTGTAGTGTACAAACATACATACTGTCTTTCCTAAGCTCAGGAACTTAACCCCCAGTAAGCTTAAACTTTCAGGAAGGAAAAAAGAAAGAAAAGTAGGTATTCACAAAAGGGTTGGGGACTCCAGATGTCAGCATTAAAGGTCTAAAAAGGGATTAGCAGAATTGCCTGTGAGGACGTTTTGTGAAGTGTAGTGTATCTTTTTTAAACCAAGAAGATGAGATTTAATAAAACTTTTTAAAATCTTGTAAAATGTGAAATATTAGCTACCCTATTACAGTGTTTGTACATTAAGAAGACATTTTGCTTTGGAGCTAGATTTAGTTTTAGGACTTTTAAGGTACTATCAACTTTTAAGTTGTTCCCAAGATTTGGAAAGTATAGTCCTTCCTTGAGCCAGATTATTATTGGGCTGTGGTTATGAAAAGATAAGTTGTTAATGTTACCTAAATTAAATCAGCGCCTTAGTAAACAGAACTTTTTAAACACCCATCTTTAGTACGTACCATCTGAATAATTCTAGCATTTTCACATTGATTTGTTATTTGAAAAATCATTAATTCGTAGGTTAATGCAGAAAAGACAAGAGTATAGCAAGAGATGAAAACTGTGCTTTTATCAAATTCACAGATGTCATCAAATTCAGAACTGCTCTTTTGATTGAGTTAGTTCAACATTGTAGGTGTTTGTATTTCTCTTGCTGAAGGACTGTTTTAAGAGTGTCATTGTAAAGTCTCTGTCCAATTCCCAATCAGCAGAGTAGAACATTTTATAGTGCGAACTCAGTAGTTCCATCAATGTGATCTTTATAGTTTTAGGAAATGAACATAGTTTGCCCACTGTTCTTTTAAAAGATCCAAATAAATAAACATGAGTCAATATAACATTTATTCTGTATTAATAATCAGTACATAAATTAATTCAACTTGAAACCTTTTTTTTCTACAGAGTATTATTCATCATCTGATCCACAATAATTTAGTACTAATTTTAATGAGAAAAAAATGAAACTTTTACTTTAATAATAGCTCATCCACTTAACATTTTTACAAATAACTACTATAAATATGTAACACTATGCAGGCTTTTTTCTATACCTAGTCACAAATCAGAATGAGCATACTGTTTATTTAAAAACGGAACACTTTCAAACTGCTGCTGTATTCAGATCACCACCTTCCCCACACCAAAATTAATTGCTCTCTCTGTGTACTGCCCTCTATGCCACTCAGGTTGCAGCATTATCCGTGGCTCTTTGTTGTAATCTCAACCCAGTTTCTGTTGTCACTGCTCCCTAGGTTGATCTCTTGGAGGGCAGGGAGCCTGTCCATCTTAATCAAATAGTGTTAGGCAGAAGTTATGCCTCATATGTGTGTTGAATCAAATTGAATTTAATCAGGACACCTGAATTTTATGTAGCTTCCTTCTAATAAATTTTTGTAACTAAGGAGCGTTATAAATTTTCTTTTCAAAAATGTATCATAAGATATACCATGGATTGAAATTTTGAATTATGTGTAAGAGACTTTATGTTACCCAATAAAACATCATAGGAATTTGAACCTAAAGAACTCTAAATTGTAAATGAGGATTTTTAAAACAAAAAAAAACACAGAAATGGCAGGCAGAAAATCAAACCCTGCTGTATTGAGTATCAGATGAAATTAGAAAGTAGACTTTACATAGTTCAATAAAGTTGACATTAAAAGGGTCTTTTCAGACAGTAGGATTCTAAAGCCTAACAATTATTTTTAAAATTCTGCTGTAAACCTCTAAAAACATTCTTAACTATAAAAAATAAGGCAACTTGAAGTTAGAAATTTGTGGATGAAGTTAATGCTGGATTGCATACAGAAGCCAAATTGGTGCCCTGACCCATGTCTTTAATGCCTTTAGCAAGCCTCTTCACATATACTGGTGAAATAACAATCTCTCAGCAGTAAATCAGAGAGATTCTAGGACTCTGCTAAATAGTAGACCAAATTAAGATCATCACAAACTTCATGCTGTCAAACACATTACCTTGAAGAAAAATTATGCAGACAGCTTTTCTGAAGAACTCCATTTGTGCCACATGCTTATTATTCTTTGAGGTGGAGGAGGTGGCAGGGAACATAATTTCTGTTTGAAAGTTCTTTTGTTTTCTGCTACCTTTACTTAAATGTTAGTGGGTACTATTTTTATATCCTATAAAGTGCTTTGAAAAAATGTTAAGTGAATAGTGCTACATAAAATAGAAGAGAATTTTCACATTCTCTGGGTTGTAAGAAGCAAAGTGAATAATACTTGACTCTTAGAAGAGGGATGATGATATGCTGAAAAAGTTAACAAGTATCCAATAACTCCCCTCCCCAACCCCTAGCCTTGTAAAATTCTGGGTTCAAAGAGAAACTGAATCTTGGCTAATAAACATTCATTAAAAGGAAATTTATACCACAGCAAATGTAAATGAAAATACATATGGTGTTCCTAATAATTATTTTAATGTTGTCAAATGTGAATTGAATTAGAACCTATTTATATTCACTTATCATTTGCATATAAGGTCAAATTGCTTAAATACAATTACAAGAAAAATATTTTATGACTTCGAAGCCATCTGATTTCTGCATATTTCTTTTTTTCTTTTTCTTTCTTTTTTTTTGAGACAGTCTCACTCTGTCACCCAGGCTGGAGTGCAATGGCGTGGTCTCGGCTCACTGCAACCTCCACCTCGGGTTCAAGTGATTCTCCTGCTTCAACCTCCTGAGTAGCTGGGACTACAGATGCGTGCCACCACACCTGGGTAATTTTTGTATTTTTAGTAGAGACAGGGTTTCACTTTGTTGGCCAGACTGGTCTTGAACTCCTGACCTCATGATCCTCCTGCCTCGGGCTCCCAAAGTGCTGGGATTACAGGCGTGAGCCACCATCCCCAGCCCTGCTTATTTCTATAACAATAAGACAATTTGAATCACCTTAGAATTCACTGTAATAGGATTTGGCCATGTAGCACATATAATCAGATTGAGACCAGTTATTTTCTGAATTCCTTTTTCTAACTGAAATCCTACTTATTTAATTCAACAAATATTCTCAATAGAAAAAGAGAAACCACTTAAGAATGAATGCAAGTAAAATATACATCTCATCATAAAAACAATCACTACATTCTAACCAAAAATATATATCAAACCACAGTGAAAAAAGTAAAAACCTAGTATTAGATAAAATTTTACTTTCTTAACCAAAAATTTCATTACTCATATTTACCATTTATCTGTTTTTTAAATCCCCCAAAATATTTTCAATAACTGGTAAGTACTATAGTTTTTGCTTGTTGATGAGAGATTACGACACATTTACAATGCAAGCGTACTGCAAGGAGGCATCCTTGCAGTAAATGAGGACAGGATTCTTCAATACACTGTAAAATGCACCAACCTTAGGTTTTTAAAACTGTTCACTTTTAAATATGATATATATTTGCTGGTAGCTGTCCAAGTCCATTAGCACCACATATAGTGAGTTAAAGAGTGTTTTCAGAGAAGATGACTTCCATCTTTTTTTAATGTTTAAAAGTTGTACAATTAAAAGAAACTGACTACTTGGGTCATGTGTTTTGAACGACACATGTTTCATCTTGCTAAATTGAAGGATTCCCCCGCCCCAACAAGATTATATGCCCAAAGGTAGGGAAATATTTCTGCACTTCAGCAAAGAATCTTGCCAATAATATCCATGATTTGATTCAATTTCAAAGTCAGATTAGTTTCTTTTGTTAGAGGTCTCAATATGTATTTACAGAATGAAACAAAGATGATTCTGTAGGACAAATTAGCACATACTTTCTATAATCAACCCATAAGCAATGCAAGACTTTACCCAGATCATTTAAAATCAGCTAATGTGCATTCTTTCCTCCAAGTGGAGCTCTTTAACAAATACCTTACATCCCATACTTTATTACTTCATCTGTTTCAAGTAGTAACATAATCACTCAGTTTACGCAATGGGGGACTATACACTTTGAATCCTAACCTATGAGGTAGGGAAGTGTGTTGTAGTATTATGGCCATTTCACACAAGGAAAGATTGAAATAGGATTAGTTTTTCAAAAAATATGGCAATCACTGATGAGATCAGATACTTCCCTTTCAATCAGTAAATAAAAATGCAAATAAGCCCTTCTCGTTTTTATAAAGTATATCTGGATTGAAAATAGTGATGAAAAAGTTAATTTTCAATATCCACGTAAAATGCTTTTTACTGGTCTCTCTCAACACATAGACACGAAGGAAAACTGACATTTAAATTATAATGTGCTTTAGCAATAATTTTTCACTTTCTATTCAACCACATTCATGGCTCATTTTTGGCCAAGAATAAATAATATTTGCCCTAGATTATTAGGATTTTCCAGGACCATTACTACCAGGCTGGCTTTGAATTTACTCTCCCCTCTTTGGAGAGAGGTTGATGAATATGGCTCTTAAAAAAGTAATTCTGCAAGATGAATCCTAAGTGACAATTTACTTGGGAATTTTTCCTTCTCCTGGATGAAGAATAATATTCCCCTTTTGTTTTTGCTGTTTCACTTTTTAACTTTTCACAGATAAATCCATGCAGAAATGGATATATACAGATCTGTTGAGGCAGAAAGAAGAGAGGGAAAAACCCACTCCCTGTTTCTACCCTTTTGCACTTAGTAACAATTTGCCTGATTGAAGGATTTGTGAATGGCTTTTTTTTTTTTTAATTGAGACAGAGTTTCCCTCTTGTCACCCAGGCTGGAGTGCAATGGCACGAATTTGGCTCACTGCAACCTCCACCTGCCAGGTTCAAGCGATTCTCCTGCCTCAGCCTCCCAACGTGTTGGGATTACAGGCGTGAGCCACTGCATCTGGCCAAATGGCTCTTTCTTATAAAGGACTTAAGCAAGACTAGAAAACCACTCATATTTAATTTCAATATGCATATTCTGCACACTATCTGCTGAAATTGGGAAAATGCAATATATTTTTCGAGTTAAGCCTAATGCTTAGGAATGTAACAATTACAAATCACATTCACAAAAGTAGCTCACCTTATTCACCATTTTAAACAACATACATGTCCACTGTAAAAAATGTTTTTAAAAACTCAGTGTGATGTTAGCCTATACACAGAGCTGAATTATCAAAAGGAAACTAGACTTTGTTATATCAGAGGTCATTAAAGAGCTTATGACATACCATAAGTGCTCAATAAATACATTTTCCTCCCCCAAAGCACTCCAGTCTCCATATGCCGTTTTAGCAACTCCCTGTATGTTGTGTTACTTTACACAGTGCAATCCGTGCTGACTTCCTCCAAACCAGAACTGACTGCATTTCAGTGGTAGAGTTTTATAAACTTGACAATCTTTAGCACTTCTGCACTATAATTGTACCTTTAAGTTCCAGAGATGATAAATCTCTCATTCGTTACGGAGTAAGAAATGCCACAAATGTATAAAATAATTCTTCATAAGCTTGGTTTTTCTCCCATGACTCTGGAGAGTAAGTCACTGTAGAAGATTGTTTATTTTATCATCAGAGGCCATTTCATTAACCAGCTGTTCTATTGACAACTGAATAGCATTCTTGACGAGAGAAGAGGCTGTTTCAATTAAGAGTGTTTCATATTGTTCTGAAGTTCTATCCTCAAAACCATTATCATTAGCAAAAACCCCTACTTGCTCACTTTCTGTTGAAATTAAGAATTGCTTAGGGACATTTTTAGATTTCTTAACATCAAATTCACTGATTTCAGTGTCTGTAATAATAATAGCAATTGGCTCCATTCTTTTGCTTTCTTCTGATTTGGATTTCTCTTCAGTGATCCCATTTTCTTTAAAATCTGGTTCTTGGCTCAATTCAGTATCTTTTCGCTTAGTTTCTTCAGTTACAGTCTCTCCGCTTTCATAGTCTTTCCCATTTGGTGCACTTTCTAGGATATTGTTACTGGCTTCTTCCACAATTTGTTGATCTGGGATTGCAGGTAAAGGAGTAACATCAGAAAGTACTGGTTGCCGATGGTCTGTTTCTGAAGTTTGAAGTGGGCTTGCTTGCTGGGGCTGAACATCTTGTTTTTCCTTGATTGTTTCAATTTCTTCAAGGATTAGAGCTCCTGTTTGAATAGCAGAATGCCCATTATCTAATCCAAGTTCTACTGAAATAACTTTCTCTCCAGAAGTTATGCTATTGCTCACATTTGATTCACAGACCTCATCACCATCTTTCCGTGAGATGCCTTCACTTAGATCCTGGGTTGACTTAGCCTTTGTTGCCTGATCGTTTGATGGAGCCTGTATTTGTAGATCCAGATTTTCAGCCTCTCCCTGGACTTTGATGCTGCAGACTGAGTCTTCTATAATTTTGGAATGACTCCTCCTTTTTGGCCGTCTTTGGAATTTTATGCAGGGAATCTTAAGTCTAGATTTTGCCTTTTTCTTAGAAAGATCAGCATCCTCAGCATTTATTTCAGGTTGCACTTCAGCCTCCAATGGCTTTTGCTTCTTTGAAGACTCCGACCTTTTCCTGCGTGTTACAAGATGTTTGAGTGAGGCCCAGGCCCCCCGTGGGGGCTCTGGCTGATCGGAAGCTCCTGCTTCTTGGGGACACTTCCTTGTTACATCAGCAGCTTCAGAGCCAGCTTTGGGTTTCAATGCTTTAGCTGCTTTCTTTCTTCTCTTGAAGCAAAGCATGGATGTTTTTTCCTCCTGTCTTTCAGCCCGAGGACTACCTTCTGCTGATCTCTTCTCATCTTTGTTTTCTACATGAATTTCTGAAACTGTGGTTGCCATTTTCACACTGTACTCTTATTCTCTAGAAAACTAGATTCTCTTTTCCTTAGCCTTTGTGACAAAAAGATGGGCAAAAACGTCACACTAGGTAAAATTTCTTCCAGGTGTATTCATTCCTTTCATCTTACTCCGTATAGTTGTTTTAGGTGGTTTCTGTAGTATAGAAATGCCTAGTTTCTCTATTGCTTGCAATTTCTCTCTTTAAATTTCTTCATGAAAGCCCTTTACTGGATAAAATTTTGCTTTATTTAAAGATCAACCTGATGAGAGAAAAGAAAGTGGTATTTTATTTCACTATGAGGCTATTCTTTTCTATGGAGACTTTTTCAGTTGAATGTATAAGATTCTACTAGACACATTTTCCATGTATTTACTAATGAAATGGCTGGAGAATAAAGATTGGGGTTTATTTTGGCCCTGTTAAAGAGTTCAGTGTGATTCTATTTTGTTTTATCCTCTTTGTTGAAACTTCATTTTGGATTACTCTGCAAGTCTGATATTATCAGTTCTTTAGTTGTGCTGTCCGTATGAATTGCTTATGATTCTAAAGTGCAAGTTAAGAACAAGAACCAAAAATGAAGTGCAGGATAAAAAGCAAGCTAATGTAATTTTTATCACACTCAATAAATAACTTTAAAGCTGCAAAGGACTTTAGAGATTATTTGAGATTACTCAAATCCAGCCAGATGACAAAACTGAGCTCCAAAAGGGAGCAATTGTCTTGTCAAAAGCCATGCAGCTAGATAAGGTCATAGCCAGAGTTAGAAGTAGAGACTTTGACACTCTAGTTTTTCCATTATAACATAAGGTTTCTGTTCTAAAAATGTATGTTCCATCAAGGAAGTGCTACTTTTCATACATACTCTTAGGAAAATTTAGCATTACTGTCATTCTACACTCTTAAATTAGTTGTATAATTTTGACATTTTCATTTAAGTACTATATCTGCTGTATCACGTTTCCACCATGCACATAGTTGGAGGTCAGTAAGTTAATAATAGCTGACATTTATTGAGCAATTCTTGGGTATTAGGCAGTGTACACACTTTTACATACATTTCTAATTCTCACCACAGTATTACAAAGGTGGTGGTGTCACCATCTACAGATGAAGCAGTTTGGCTGAGATTAAGGCATCGCTGTAACAGATCTCAAATTAAACACAAGATTGCTTGTTGCTTAAAGTTTATGTTCTGAAACTGGGCTTTAAGAGTTTCATTAGAAAATGAATCCTTTGGGGATACTAATCTGCAGTATATTCATAGTAAAGAAATTTAAAAACTGATTAATGGTCATTTAACCACAAGGTACCCATCAATCAACTCATAAATTGAACCAAGACCAGACTGAGTTCTTGTTATTTGAAAACCAAGCTTTTGAAAGTCTTTATATTTTATTTTTTTGGTTCAGGAAGTAATTTAAAAGCCAAAAATAAGTTGACAAACTATGCAGTTGGCAAACCGTTAGATAATATAAAGGTGTATTGAAAGTTTAATCCACAGAATGGTATGATAGCACCAAAGAATGGAAATGGGAGGTGATTATCTAACAAAGAGCCTATGAATTTTAGTGGATGGATGCCCTAAAATAAGCAAAGGGACACATTCTTTATACTGTTTTCATGTAAATCCTTCACTGAAGTTTCACTTGGATAACCCATAATTTTATGAACTGTAGAAGGAACTGGAACCCTGAAAATCAGTTTATGATCTAAGTAAATATTCCCTTAGGTTGGGTGTTTCATACTTTATGCCTCTATGAGAAAGATAAAGTCATTCTAGAACAATGACGGAACTAAAATATGAACATTTGACAGTGTTTCTCCTCACATTTATAATGCTTCAATGAATACTAGAACCTCAGTTGATAACTATTTAAATCTTCTCACCTCTTGTGAGTTTTCAGCACCTGAGCATTTTTGTTAAGCAGAGGATGTATTACCACATAATAGAAATATTGAAATGAGATGTTTAGGAGTGTATCATTTAGAAACTAACCTGGATTGTGCAAAGACAATGGTTTGAGAAGCTTACTTAAATGTATATACACTCTAGAAATAAAATGAATACCCAAACAGAAACTTAATTGAAAGGGGGAAAATAATTCTGTCTGTAGATATTAACTTTGCAGAATGTCAGACTGCAAATAATTCCCCCTTAACCAGCAAGGGTAGCTTTATCGCCTCGGGAAATCTTAAAGTCCCTGTGCTCATTTCCTGATAGAATTGCAAGTCTCCTGTCACAGAAAACACCCCCCTTCCCTTTCTCCCTTGAGCAGCAAAGAGCAACCACTACCCGAGGAAAGCAATGTATCTTTGCCAGCATCAGATATGGACCACGAAGCTTCCTCCTGGAGGAATCTCGAATTCTGGCTTGATGCCCCTTATGGCAGGAGACAGAGCGCAGGATAAAGTACTCAAAAAGGAAAATGCCGGGGGCGTGGAACAGATAACCCAGCTTCAAGCTGTCTGTAGAATTATAATGTAATGGCTAGAAACCCAAAATCACATTTCCCAAAGAGGGATAAAGAAGGAAAAAAGCCACCGGCAACCCTTGATTCTAAGACCAGCTGTAACGCGAAGGGGATAGGTGGGCAGACCTGATGAGTATCGCCCTGGCCGCGGATTCCTGCAGACAAGCGACCTCCTGTGATCCCAGCACCTCAGGGGGCCCGGATCCCCAGTGTCCAGTGGGCACCCCCTGCCCACTCCGCGATCCGCAGACCTGACACTGCCCCCGACCCTCCCCCGCAGCCTCCCCGCCCTGCCTTCACTCACGGAGGGCGCCGGGGTCCTTGGCCAACACTGCTCCCGAGGTCACGGCGCGCTCGCGGGGCCCGGCACCCAGGCCTCCAGGGAGCCGCGGTCGCGCCTGGAGCAAGGCGCCCTCTGCAGAACCCGCCGCCTGGTGCGCCCCCTCCCCACAGCGCGGGGACAGACAGCCCGCAGCGCCAATGCGAGCGGAGCGGGCGGGCAGGGGCGGGGCGACCGCGAGAGGTGGGGGCGGCGAGCGCCGGGACCCACCTGCAGCTGCAGCCTGCCTGCCGCGGGGAAGCCCACCATGCTCCGCCCGGACGCCAATCCCCGCCGCTCGACCACATCAACGCCGAGGCGAGGACCGCGAGAGAGCCAGCCGGAAGGTTGGGGGACCGGGGGAACCAGGGCAATGAACCCCGCGTTTTCTGAGACGCAAAGTAGTGAGGTCGGGTTTCAAATTATAGATGGTCCCATTACACTTCCCCTCTCCTCCTCCTCAGAAAATTTAAAGACAAGGCAGACATCCCATTTTAAAAGCGGGATTCAAAACTGCATAGAATAGTGAGGTGTCGTGTTTGTCTGAAGCGAAGATTACATATATGAATGGAAACAGAAAGAAACCCGACTTTGTGAGGAGTGGCTTGAGTGTTAAGGAGATCATCGTGGTTCATCACCAAACAGGCTCTTAGGCCTTTGTTTCCCAGTGGGACGCAGGTGGAGGTGATTCGCGCAGAACTTTGGCCTGCAGGAGCAGCTGCATCTCTATGCAGACAAGGTGAGAAAGGCACAAGAACCCAGCTCCATCCATCTTATACCTTACATATTAACAAAAATAAGTTGAGGCAGCTTACAAGTTACCTATGATTCCCTTTAGGACATTCCTAGCTGCCTACTTGACATCGCCACTGTCAGTGAAGTGGGGTGGGGAGGTGGGTGGAGAACAGGAGAGGACATTGCTCACAATTCTAGTCTCAGTCAGAGCAAAGGGTGCAGGCACCGTCTACCCACCTAATTGACTAGGTTACGGATCTTCATGCATTTTCTGAGCTTGCCGTAGAGAAAAGTACCACAAGTATTTATTTGTACACATAAAGCATTAACGTGTACTTTATGAAAGGTGTTGCTGTCAGAGTTGAGGCTGACTTGCTTTTGGATTAGCATTCCCTATGAGAGTATTCCTGGGCGCTCCAGCAGTAAAGTCTAGTAGGATCCCTCTAGACAATCCCAGCTTCCTCGTCTGGCCCCCACAGCATAGCATCCAGATGAACCTAGTAAAGTGGAGTGAAGAACTACTGAAAAGCAGCTGTGCTCATCTCTTTTTTTCAACAGGATCAAGATATTAGGGAGTCTAAATGTCAGGTGTCCATTTTTGGATGTTTTTCTGGAAATGTTTTACATTTGTAAGATTCTGTAGTTTCCACAGAGGCTTACCAAGGATAGAACTATTGGGACACAAAAGCAAAGGCAAATATAAGCTGTCAAGATCTTAAATTTACAGGTAAAAGAGACAAGAGTTGTAAAGCAGGAAAATCCATAAGCATCTAGTTTAGTTGTAATTAAGAATTCAGGGCTGGGGGCCGTGCGCGGTGGCTCACGCCTGTAATCCGAGCACTTTGGGAGGCCGAGGCGGGTGGATCACGAGGTCAAGAGATCGAGACCATCCTGGTCAACATGGTGAAAGCCCGTCTCTACTAAAACTACAAAAAATTGGCTGGGCATGGTGGCGCGTGCCTGTAATCCCAGCTACTCAGGAGACTGAGCCAGGAGAATTGCCTGAACCCAGGAGGCGGAGGTTGCGGTGAGCCGAGGTAGCGCCATTGTACTCCAGCCTGGGTAACAAGAGCGAAACTCCGTGTCCAAAAAAAAAAAAAAAAAAGAATTCAGGGCTGGACGCAGTGGCTGACTTTGTGAGGCCAAGGCAGGAGGATGGCTTGAGTCCTAGAGTTTGAGACCAGCCTGGGCAACATAGGGAGACAAAAAAAATTTAAAAATTAGCCGGGCGTGTGTGGTGGCACACCTGTAGTCCTGATTACTAAGGAGGCTGAGATGAGGATCACTTGGGCCCAGGGGGTCAAGGCTGCTGTGAGCTGCTATTGTGCCACTGCACACCAACCTGGGCAACCAAGTGAGAGAGACCCTGTCCCAAAAAAAAAAAAAAAAAAAATTCAGTCAGCCTTGTTCATTCAGCAAACACGTCTATGAAAATGTTCTTCATATTTCTCTATGGGTTGCTAGCCCTGCTTTGTTGCCAGTTTTGAACTTTAAGCCAAAAGAAATCCATGATACTCATAAGCAATTGAGAACTATTCCTTATTGAGATCCAAGCTTTCTGAAAACTAGCAGACCTGGGAGTTTGCAACAATTTCAGACAAAAAATAAGATGAGCTTATTTAGGTGCAGACAGGGTAGAATAGCTGTCTTATTTTTATTTGGGACAGGATCTTGCTCTGTTGCCCAGGCTGGAGTGCAGTGGCATAATCCCTGGCTCAGTCCTCCACAGGCATGTGACTTCATGCCCAGCTGCTGCTGCTGCTTTTTTTTTTTTCTTCCGGTAGAGACAGGGTCTCCTTATGTTGCCCAGGCTGGTCTTGAACTCCTGGGCTCAAATGATCCTCCTGCCTCAGCCTCCCAAAGTGCTAGGATTACAAGTGTGAGCCACCATCCCTGGCCTTGACTTGCCTTTCTTTTAAACAAAATTAGTAAAAGGGAACTGAAAGGCAGTTTGAGGTAAGAGGTGAATTTATTTAGTATTTGAAGGGCAAATTCGGACAGACTTCCTTAAGGTGTATTACAAACAAGTCATCCCTGACCTCCACCACACACATACACACACAGTCACTCACACAGAGTATAGCTCTGTAAATAACATACTGCACCATCGTTTTTCTTTAGGATATGACTAGAATGCAATGCCACATCTGTGTGTGTGCATGTTTAATGTATCCAGTACCTCGTGCATGAAAGAAACCTGTCATTCCTGAGTTCAGGTAAGTGCCAGTGAAGACTGTTTTAAGCTATTACTGATACCATTGTCTACTATTCCATTAGTAGCTTTTCAGTATATAACAGGAAATAGGCTATAATATATTTCTACGATCTGATAAACTATCCTACCAATAGCTTATCATGTTAATATCACCAGATACAGTGTGCCAGTAAAACAGCTTACATATTTATATGAGCAATACTCTACCGATCTTACCATTTGTTTCTCCCATCTAGGGCTCTACCCACAGCCTGGGCCTGTAGCTACCAAAGATGATTTATAACTCCTTGTTAATAGCTCTTACATTTCAGAGGCCTCCTGGGAATAAGCCCCCCAATCCCCTTCCCTGGGGCACCACTGAATGAACCTGAGGCTCCAGGTCTCTGGTGGTTTCATTTGTTCCTGGGCACCATGAGGGTTGCACAGAGGCAACACAAACTCAGTAGTAATACTGTTGCAAACTGTTTAATGTGGCAGCACATAAATGCTATCTCTTTTGAATTAAGAGTGTATGTACATCTTCAATGCACAGAAACAGCTTCTGAAGTGAGATCGGAGAATGTACCAATTTGTTTATCAGTAATATTACTAATATGGGGAAGGAAGGCATTAGCAGCCCAGAGAAGAGAAAGGGCACGGGAAGGCCAGTGATCTGGAGGGACTCAACAGCAAGGTAAAGGCACGAGACCTCTGCCAGCACATGCTGATAGTTACCCCAAGCACTAATGCTTCTATAGGTCTTTTTTACTTTGACACAGGGTCTTGCTCTGTTGCCCAGGCTGGAGTGCAGTGGCCCAGTCATAGCTCATCACAGCCTCAAACTCCCAGGCCCAAGCGAACCTCTCACATCAGTGTCCCCAGCAGCTAAGACTACAAGCATCCACCACCACACTCAGCTGAGTTCTTTTTAAGACAGGGTCTCATTGTCTTGTACAGGCTGGTCTTGAACTCCTGGGCTCAAGTGATCTTCCTGCCTCAGGCTCCCAAGATGGTGGGATTACAGGTATAAGCCACCATGCCCAGCCCCTACCAGTATTAAGGATTTAAACCCACATGGCTTTTGGCAATATAAGAAAACCTAAGTCCTTTAAGATGACCTTTAAGTCACCATATCTGACAAGACTGCATCCTTCCCTTGTCTATAAAATGAATTCCCAGCAAATCCCATTCCAGATGAACTTTCACAGGACATTTAAGAAATGTACCAGAAGCAGCTGGGCCCAGCAGCTCATGCCTGTAATCCCAGCACTTTGGGAGGCCCAGGTGGGAGGATCACTTGAGGCCAGGGGTTCGAGACCAGCCTGGCCAACATGGTGAAACCCTGTCACTACTAAAAATATAAAAAATTAGCCAGGCATGGTGGCACGCACCTGTAACCCCAGCTACTCAGGAGGCTGAGGTGGGAGAATTGTTTGAACCCAGAAGGCAGAGGTTGCAGTGAACAGAGATCATGCCACTACACTCCAGCATGGGCAACAGAGCATGACTCTGTCTCAAAAAACAAACAAACAAAAAAGTATAGAAGCAATTAACTCTGTGCAAACAGGGCCTGGATGATGCTTTTCAAGAGGAACTGACATTATTGAGTGGTTACAATATACCAGGGTCTGTACAGAGCATCTTAGATGATGTGTTTGAATAATTCTAGAACCGCCCTCACGAGGTGGGTACCAACAGTGCTCCTATTTCCATGGTGAGGATGTGGAGGCAGGGAAGTGGGTGAGGCTCTATGCAGTAGAGCTGGGACTCTGCATCATGACCCCTCAGCCATACGCCTCTCAAGGCACCGCTATCATTTCCGTGGACTGTAAAACTGACTGTATTACAACACTGATGTGAACCCAGGCAATTAAAAATAATAAAACCAAGGTCACTGGGAAAAATACTGCTCTGCCAATATCAGTAGGGTTTGGCACTGGCACCAGTGGGATGCAGCATCCTCTGCAAAGAGTCATTGGAGGAAGATAAGGGGAAAAAGGGAAGGAAACAACTGGGACAGGAAGAACAGAGATAGAGGATGCAGAACAAGAAGTGAAGGAAAAATATTTTATTTCTTTTTTATTTAACAGAGACTAGCTCTGTCTCCCAGGCTAGAGTGCAGCGGCATGATCCTGGCTCACTGCAGCCTCTGCCTCCTGGGTTCAAGCAATTCTTGTGCCTCAGCCTCCCAAGTAGCTGGGATTCTAGGTGCCCACCACCACACCCAGCTAATTTTTTTCTTTTTGGTAGAGACAGCGTTTTGTCATTTTGGCCAGACCTCAAGTGATTCACCCACCATGCCCTCCCAAAGTGCTGGGATTTCAGGCATGAGCCACGACCATGCCCAGCCAGAAGTGGAGGAAAAAAATATTAGGTTGGTTACCAACCTAATGTTTTAGAAAAAAGGAAGTCTGGGCCAAGCATGGTGGCTCATGCCTGTAATCCCTGCACTTTGGGAGGGCATGGTGGGTGAATCACTTGAGGTCTGGAGTTCGAGACAATCCTGGACAACATGATGAAACCCCATGTCTACTAAAAATCCAAAATTAGCTGGATGTGGTGGCGCATGCCTGTAATCCCAGCTACTTGGGAGGCTGAGGCAGGAGAATCACTTGAACCCAGGAGACACAGGCTGCAGTGAGCCGAGATCGTGCCACTGCACTCCAGCCTGGGCAACAGAGGCTCTGTCACTGAAAAGAAAAAAAGAAAGTAAGTCTGTAGAGAAGGGTAGAGCCCAGGCATTTAGAATAAACTCAATGAATACTTGCTGCACCAATAGAACAGAGGCTTATCTAAGGTTAGTGCCATATGACCACCCTTCCTAAAGACTTTAAACATAGAAAGTGCTAAAGCCGTGACAGAAATGGGAATTCCAAGGAAGTTCAGGCAAAACTTGGTGTAAGCAATACTTCCTCAGAGTGGAAAAACAAAATTAAACAATATAGAAAGGTATAAGATAAAAAGGTAAGACATCAACTTCCAACCCAAACCTCTCAGGAGGTTCCCTAATTATGTGTCCTCTCAGAAATACACAAGCACGCATAAGTTTTCCCCTCTAAATACAACAGTATCATAAAGTGCACACTGCAACTTGCATCTTCAGCCCCAAGGGTCTGCCTGACAAATGAGCTCACGTATGATGACAGAGACCTGTGGCACAGTCTGTTAAGGCTATAATTCATATTGCAACACCAAGATGGCAAAATTATTTCCTTTTATTCTGTGGAACTTCACTAAAGTAAAGAGGCATGTGCATGATTTATGTTAATTTACACATGATGAGAATTAAGGCTGAAAAGGACTTCCAGGGAAACTCCTACTATTAACTTCAGATCTTCTGGGCAGGGGCTGACTTCTCTTGGCTTCCCTATACTTCCTAACTCCCAGTGGCCCTGAATAGACACTGGCCAGACTTTCAAAGTAGCTTCTTGAAGATGAATGATGATCTGGAAGGAAAAACAAACAAGAAATCAGTTTTCTCTAAGCACTGAAATGTTTCCTGTTCCTTCCATACAGCACCATTACCCACTCACATTGCCAAAGCTGTTAACACTGACATCCTTTCCTACACCAGCTCTTCTAGGGTCTGTCCATAAATGGACCTGAAAATGGTGCATAGCATTTCCATGGTACTATGTGAACACTGTTCAAGACCAGACCAAGCAGTGAGCTGTGACTGCATTTCCAATGTCACACATGCCCTCTCAAAGATTAGTGTTCTAGCATCAAATTACAGTTTGCTTCTACTTGGACCTTAACTTTCTCAAGTAATGCAAGAGCTTTTATTTTGTACTATTACCCTCTGATATCCTTGTCTTTTCTAACTTTTTCAGTTTTTCTCAGGTGTTCACCCAACCTGTCCCACACTGGATTTGTAACCCTAGGTCATTTGCATGGTTGTCAGAATGCTTCTTCACTAACGTCCAAATCAGGGTTCTGTTTCCCAAAACTCTTATCTTCTTTTTTCTTGGTTAATTCCTCATTTTGCTAAGTACATTGCTAAATAACTTCTTAGGAAGAGATGGGGGATGGTAAACGCTTGCATGTCTGAAAACATCCAGATAGATTCGCTGAGGTGTAAACACATGTGGAAAGTCATTTTCCCTGTGACCTTAGAGGATATTCCTCCACTTTCTAAAGCTTCTTGTTGCCGAAAAGACAGGTGTTCGGTCCAGTTCTCATTTTTTGAATAGGCAAATCACTTTTTTCTTCTCTGGAGAAAGATGTTTAGGATTTTCATGTTTGATATTTTTGAAATTGCAGGAGGATGTGTCTAGGGATAGAAGTGCACACTGCAACTTGCTTCTTCAGCCCCAAGGGTCTGCCGAAGGAGAGACACATCCTGTTGAAATTTCAAAAATATCTAACAATGCAATGTCACTCATTGCAGTCAGTACTAAGCGCCCTTTCATCTAAGGCCCTAAGAACTGCTGGATTGGTCCTGTTTTCTTCTCTTTCCAGTTACACTTCTAAGACACTGACTAACTCTTGCCTTCTAACTACCTATTCAGAGTATACAGACTGTCAGCTGTTCCTGACCTGCAATGTGTCAATTCTGAACCCCAAGACTCCTTGAGCTGCAGCAGAGGGAGTCTAACCTCCCCTGCCGTTCCCTCTATAGTTTATTGGGCAGCAGTTTTCTCCCCTACACTGTCAACCATGCACGTCTTCCAAGAATGTGTTGAAATATAAATATTTCAATTAATTGGTTATTGCCAACTCTCATTCCTATCCCCTCTCCCCTCAAAACATTTCTGAAAAGAAACGTTTTGAAAGCATTAGAATACGAATTTTTATAGTGTCAGTTTGAGCCCTATAATTCATAAGTAAGCTACATAAGGAAAAAAGCAAAGTTCTTCCCTAGTAACAACTTACCTGTTTAGAATAATCCATTCACCTGTTCTGTTTCAGGGTCCAAATCAATATCATAAAAACAGGGTCGGGTGGGGAGTCCAGGCATTGTGCTCATCTAGGATGTAAAAAAGCATTACAAACAAACTTAAGCTGGCTCACGCCTATAATCCTAGGCTAAGGTGGGAGGATCACTTGAGGCCAGGAGTTCTAAACCATCCTGAGCAACATAGTGAGACCCCGATCACTACAAAAAATAAAAAAATAGGCTGGGCATGATGGCATGTGCCTGTAGTTCCAGCTACTTGGGAGGCTTAAAGCAGGAGGACCACTTGAGGCTAGGAGGTTGAGGCCATAGTGAGCCATGATCATGCCATTGCCTGAGTGACAGAGCAAGGCCGTGTCTAAAATAAACATAAAGTCATCTTTTATTTCACTTTTCCTTCAGATAGAAAGCCCAAAAGATAGATCACTTTACAGTTGTCAATAAAATGGGTACTCTTCTTGTTACATACTAAAAATCAAGTCACTGATCCTGTTATAAACTCAAACTTAGAAACTGATCCCAGCTGGGCACTGTGGCTTATGCCTATAATCCCAGCACTTTGGGAGGCCAAGGCAGGTGGATCACCTGAGGTCAAGAGTTCGAGACCAGCCTGACCAACATGGTGAAACCCCGTCTCTACTAAAAATACAAAAATTGGGTGGGCATGGTGATGTGCGCCTGCAATCTCAGCTACTCAGGAGGCTGAGGCAGGAGAATCGCTTGAACCTGGGAGGTGGAGGTTGCAGTGAGCCAAGATCACGCCACTGTACTCCAGCCTGGGTGACAGAGCAAGACTCTGTCTCAACAACAGCAAAAAAGAAGCTGATCCCTCATGTCCTTCTGCAAACCAAACACTAGCCTTCACTATCATCTTCCATACTGATGGTGGTCACAAGTAGTAGCAGGAGGTGTTTCCACCTTCACCTTACAAGGACGAGTGCTGAGGAGTAGAGGAGTTGTTTACTCACCTCCTCAGTTCACACTTTTTAAGACCAAAAGGAGGTGTAGGGCTTGTGTGCTTTTAAATTTTGTTTCATTCTGTCTTGCTAGCTGAGCTGCCAATGTGATTTTTGTTTCAGCAACATGATGGTAGGAGTTAGTATCCTTTAACTTGGACCAAGACACCTTTGTACGTAATCTAGATGGTTTTATAATCACTATTCTTACTGGCCCAATATGGCCTTCTAAAACTAAACTTGTAATGCTTACAAATTATATTTGTACTCACTGCTTTTCTAAAGACTCAGCTTTGACAAATTTCTGCTTAGATGCAAATTTGTATGGCTTGTAAGTGGAAACTCAGTATATTTTTATCTGTAACAATGTCCTATATAATGAATACACACAAGTTCCAAATTAAATCTAGACAGGAAAACAGCTTAGGTTACTTCTAAAATTTAACTATAAAAAGGTTATTAAAAAAGAATGAGTCATCTTCTGTAACAAAAGCATCATCAATACTTTAGAAAACCTCATTCTGACTGACTTCTGAATATCAGTCAATATTCCCCAAAACACATCACAGGAATCTGACAACTGGTTTATATTCTCATACTCTGTAAGAGGTAAGGAGGTGGTAGGTGTGAGACAAGTAGGAGAAAGGAAAGGATTGGTCTTTAGACCCAGCAGAAAAACCTAAAGATGACATTATAAAGATAAAATACATCAATGTAGACATACATGTACCTGTCAGTAGAAAACCCTAAAGATGGTTCCAACAGTGATTAGTAGGATTTTTGACATTTTCACTCATTCCCAAAGAGGATTTTCCCTCCTTAACATGGGTCATTGATAATAAATATACAAAAAAAGAAAATATTATGTGTACATACACATATATGAACCTAGATATAAAATTCTGAAAAGAAATCATCACACTTTGAATTAATATAGATAATATTCAAATAATCTGAGTCCCATTAAGGCCCCAACGGCAACTGGAAGGTGTTAGAATAGCGATGAAACCATTTGGTCATGTGTGGAAACATCTTGGTTCAAGTTAAACTTGAAGGGCTCTGACGCGTCCTTTGTTCTAAATGAGAACGTCTTGAGTTGGGCAGGCTGTGTCTGTCTCTGCCTTACAGCCTGGGTCTCACTGGCCTGACTGCTTCCAGATTTGCTTTCACCTCTACTGTTACCTTTTTCTTCTTGTGAAGATCAAAAGTGACAAGAGGCCGGGCGCGGTGGCTCAAGCCTGTAATCCCAGCACTTTGGGAGGCCGAGGCGGGTGGATCACGAGGTCAAGAGATCGAGA